CGATAATTTTTTTCTGAATATCCATAGTTTGTTGAATTGATTGGTGGAAGCCAGTTTGGCAGAAAAGGGGGCCAAGAGCCAAACCCTCCTAAGTTAGTGTAATTTTTATTGACATTTTAAATTCAAGTAAATTTTGATAAAATTTACACTTGGCTCCTTCAAGAAAGATTCATTTTTTTTTGGCTCCATCACTGGTTGAAGCCAATGGAAGGCGCTTCTATATGTCCTGAAACACTGGTAGGTGTCGAATAGTTCAGTTTAAAATGTTTTGTTCCTAAAAAATGCCTTGGGGTGGTTGTTCTTTTGTTGGTTTAGATTGGCTTCATCCCAAACAATGTGCACAAGGATTGTTATCGTTGCTGTCAGTCTGGCCATGACACTATCGTTCGAAATCTTGCTGGTGGTTTTTAGATGTTACTATGATAATATCCATTCCGTCCCTCCTAGGAGTTGATAAGTAGGAATTTCCAGGAAAGGGTCTCTAATCTGTGTAATAATTTTTGTACTTTGGTGATTAACCGCTGCTAGCCTGCTGCTCAGTGCATTGCCTGCCACGCCAGTTACAGGCTCGCACTCCGGCAGCCCGGCCTACTCGTCTGCGTGCAAGCAAGGACGTCACACACGTTTACCCGCCCGTTGACCAAATAGAAAAAAGTCCATTTAAACTCCACGACTATTGCCTAAGTTTCCTCAATTAAAAAACAGATCTTTCAACTTTTAAAACCGTCGCATTTACGTCTTTGAGCTGTTTTAAAAGGGGTTATGGCTGATATATATATAGTGCCACATCAGCAACGATGGCGCAAATTGGATTTCCTCTATACTTCAGATAGGTCAACTAGACTTTATATAAAAAATATAGAAATTAATTCTTCAAGAAATTATCCATATACTTTTCTAGAATAAACATACATTTAAAAAAATAATAAAACCTAATTTATATTAGAAAATTTATTAAATATTGCTTTAACTTAGAACATTTTGAAACTAGATTTATTTTTTTAAAATCATGCTTATACTTTTCTAGAATAAACATACATTAAAAATACTAAAACCTGATTTAATGTTAGAAAACTTGTATAAAAATTATTTTAACTTAGAAAAATATGAAACCGGATTTATATATTTTTTTTCTAAAAATCATGCTTTACCTTTTTTGTTCTTTGATTACAATTATTGAATCTCATATGGTCTCCTAAAATTTGAAATTGTTCCAAATATAAAACGGAGAATGCATCCCAAAACAAATCCTCGTAGACCGCAGCATGAATCATCGCTACATATTCTCAGTAGCAATGTCTTGCTTAACCATCGAGACATGTACGAGAAATTCAAAATAAAAATATATAATTCGAGCTCTGACGCTGATTGCATATTGACAACATGTATTATGTGATTTAACTTTGTAGTACTACTGTGTTTTTTAAGGGACATCACGAAGATGACGCATGCAGACCCATTTGGACCATTTAGGGTGTGACTTCTCATACTCTCAAACTGACATCTGCGACTTGGTCGACAACTTCGGGATGGATGCGCTTCCTCGTTTATCGTCACAGTCGTAGGTCTACATACACCGAGAGCACATGATCGAATAGGAAGGCAATTTAGACGGGCTCAGGATGTTTGCCTTCATGTGTTTCCTAAAATTATTCTCTATATTATGGTGTCTGACTTATAGAAATATAGAGCATGATTTTAGGGTTTCATATTTTCTAAGTTAAAACAAATTTTTGTTTTCAATATTAAATAATATTTTAGTATATTTTTAAATGCATATTTATTATATAAAAAATCATTGTTAACCTAAACAGTCGTTTAGCCCGTTTAAACACCATGTAAATGCTACATGGTGGTGCACGTTTTCATTTAATCATCTATTTACCCTGTTTAATGGGTCATTTAGTCCATTAAATGGATTGTTTAGCCGAAATAATGGCTAAACGTTAGCGTTTAGGAAAAGATTGAAAAAATATTGGAATTCTTTAATTTTTTAAATTTTAAAGTCTAATTAATCTTTTTGAACAATCATGAAAATTCGATTTACCTTGTGGTTAACATGACGCCACGTAGGATGATTAACATGGCGCCACATCAGCCAAAACCACTTTCAAAACTACTCAGGAAGGTAAATCGGATGGTTTCAAAAGTTAAAAGAGTCTAAAAATTTGGTTTTCTAATTTTTTAGAGCAAGGGAAGTGAGGTAAATCAGACTCATGCAAAAGTTATTAAGGCATTGTTTAGCATGTCTCCACTTAGTCGGTGGAACTGTTTTTTTTAGCTTATAAACTCCACGAGTAGCTCTACTGGTGGAGCTGAAGCCGTTTTGATGATCCGTTTGCTAAAAAAACTCCTCATGGTGGGCAAAAAGAATGAAATGACCGTAATGTTTTCTCTTTATTTTTTCCTTATTTTCTCCTCTCTATTTCCTTCTTTTTTAATCTCATGGCGTTTTTTCTCACCGCATGGCCATCCCCTTGTGAAATGGGTGGAGGTGCCCCCCCGGACGACGTGCGCTTTGATGGCTGGCCACAGACTCGGACGGTTGCCCTGACGTGCGTGTCGTGCTTCGGGCCACACACATACCACGACAATGACTCAAGGCAAACCGAGATTCCATCCTCGATGGGCAGGGGCAAAGCTATCATCAATGTTATGGTGGTGCACCACCGAGACAAATGAATTCTTCTCATAGTACATAGTACATGGTGAGTATTAGTCAATTTACTAACAATTTTTGGTGCACCCCTGGTTCCGAAGGCACCACGGTAACATAACGCGGCTTCGCCCCTATCGATGGGACCACATAGGCGAGGTGGTGAAGCCACTATTTTTATCTCCATCCCGGCCTACCCTTTGACTCAACAGGTTTTAAGGGGCTATTTGGGTGAAGCTGTTTGGTTTTATCCCGTCTGGCCAAAATGTCTGTCAACAACTTCAGCCTGTTCGCTTGCTCGTAAACGATCGTAAATTTCTAGCCGGGAACAGTGTTTTTCTCTCACACCAAACCAGCCAGCAGTAAATAATCCACGATACGATACGGCCTCCCGAACAGGCTGTTAATGACAACCATTGTATAAGTTGGTTGTTCAATCATGATTACGTGGTATTACATGCAACCATCATTTAGAAACATTATATGAGACCATTTTTTTACATAGAAACATTACATGAGACCATCTCGCCCTAGGAGAGGTTAAATGGACCTTTTCCTTTTTTTTAGAGGAAAATGGACCTTTTCCAACCAAATACCAATCGCACGGACGCAGCTCGTACTCATTCGTTCGGCTGGTAATTTTCGCTTGGGCCACGAAAATGAATGAAAACAGGCCCATGTCAGCCCAAGCCCATTCAGGCCGAACGCTTTCCCTGTACTTTATGATCAAGCCCAGCCCAGAGGAGCGCGGCGACGGCGAACTCGCGAGCCGAGGACGAAGGGTTTTGTGCTCTTCTTCTCCCGTTCCGGTAGTGCTCTCTCCGCTGCTCATGGCGCCGCCCCCCTGCCTAGCGGCACTACCGGCTCCGCCCCCAAAAGAGCCCTAGCGGCATCTCTTCCGATTTCAGGTATGGCCATGGATTCTTCCTCCTCTCTTTGCTCTGCTGATCTCATCAACAAACAAGTGCCCTGGCGTTGTGAAATCCCTTCCCTTCTTTTTGTTAATTATTAGTAATAACGAACAAACCCCGCCCCCCGGGCTGTGCGGTGTGATAGTCTGATAGATGGAGTAGGTTCGGTTCCTCTGTGCTGCTCCTACAGGAGTCGCTTGGCCATGGATTATTCCTCCTCTCTATGCTCTGATGATCTCAGCGATAGACTAGTGCCCTGGCGTTGTGAAATCCCTTCTTTTTTGTTAATTATTAGTAAGGATTCCTATTAGTAATAACGAAGCCCCGGGCTGTGCGTTGTAACAGTTGGAGTAGGCTCGATTTGTCTGTGCTTCTCGTACTGGAGTCGCTTGGCAGCCCTCATAGATAGGTTGGATTTCGTGTAGCTTTCCGGGCCAGATTTTGATGCGATTGGGTACGCGGTTAGTACCAAATATGCCGGATAAATAGGTTAATGGGCTCTGCGATTTATGGCTGGATAAATAGGTTAACGGGCTATGCCAGTTGAGGAGATGGCTGGCTGCTACACGTTGCCTGTTCGTTTAGTTATCCACCAGTAATTTCTAGTAGTTTCTTTGTTTTAAATGTTTGAGTGGAATGTGCATACTAGTACTAGGGTCTTAATTTGATGCGTTTCTGGCTCCGTTGATGTTTGCTCTGCGATTTATGGCTGGATAAATAGGTTAACTGGCTATGCCCAGATTCATCTTTTTCATGATAAGGTAGCCAGGTAGGCGCATTAACCTTTTAGAAAGACAGAAAATGGGTGCCTCTTTGTTCACCCAAACAGACGCACCCATGTATTTTTTTCATCATAATTTCACTAAATATATAGCGCGCTGCCTAGTTTACTCTTATTCATGGCTTGTAGGAGATGTAGGAGAATTTGGCACAAAAGTTCTTCCGTGGGACCTTCTTAGCTTCATATCTAATCATTATGCTCTCTTCTATATGATCTGTTTAGTTCTTATCTGATCTGTATTGCTTCATATATATGTTATCTAAAGAAAAGTTCATCCATTTTGTCCACTTGCATGATCTAATCATTATCATGGTGAAAAAGAAGCTGAACGTGATTCAGTACCGGTGAATGATCTCCAATTAATATCGATGTGATGTTGCTGAGTTAACTTAATTAGTAGCCCCTATGTTAGGATGGACAGAGGAGCTTTTAACATGTTTACAATTGCTTCAAAACATCATAATATGCATTTTCGCTTCTTGATTAATTTCATTGCCATGATCTGATTATCTTCAATGCTTCATACTGAACTCCATCTCCTTTATTTCAGTCTCACACTCTGAATACCTAAAACACCTCCTTTATTTCAGTCTCACACTCTGAATACCTAAAAGACCTTGAGATTACCAAACTTGCCAAGCTGCATTGCTCGATGGACGATCTCCCAGAGGCGCTGCTTGCAGAGATTGTCAAGTGGCTTACCAGTCCAAGTGATCTTAAATCTCTTTCTCTCGTGTCCAAGCGACTATATGCCGTTGAGGGAGAGCTGAGGAATTCTATGTACATTGGCTGTGGCGTTTTCCCTGTGACAGTGGCCTTGATTCGTCTGTGCTTCCGGTACCCCAATTTGTGCAAAGTGGAATTCAATTACTCTGGTTGGACTTCCAACCATGGGATGCAGTTGGACAAACATGGCCTCCAGGTGTTTTCATCTTGCTGCACCTCATTGACTGATCTCACCTTAAGCTTTTGCACGAATGTTGATGACTCAGGCCTTCGCCTTTTAGCGTGCTTCAAGAAGCTGATGTCTCTGAGGTTGAACACATTACCAGCAATAACTTCGTCTGGGCTTCTCCAAGTGGCTATTGGCTGTAAAAATCTATCTTCTCTCCACCTTATTGGCTGCAACAAAGTAGGTGGTGCAATGTGGCTGGAGTACCTTGGCAGGTTTCGACCATTGAAAGAACTTGTAGTGAATCGCTGTGAGATGATCAGCCAGTTTGACCTACTAAAGTTCAGTCCAGGATGGATGAAGCTTCAGAAGTTTGAGTTTCAGATCAAAGGTTGCCCCAATATATTTGATCCTCGTGATCCTTCATGTGTGGAGCACTGTCAGTATAGATTTGATTTCAGCTGTGAGAGTTTGGTGGATTTGACATTGGCGCGAGTCTCAACTGAGAAGGAAATAGGACTTCGTAATCTCCTGAGGAAGTGCAAGGCATTAAAGAACTTGTGCCTTTATTATGTTCTTGGTGTACAGGACAATGACATAGTTACGCTCTCCAATAACTGCAGCAACTTTACAAGCATCTCACTTCGGTTGACACCTGAGTTCAATGAAGGTCATGTTTTCAGGACATCATTGACTGATGACAGCCTTAAGGCTCTAGCCCTCAGGTGCAGTAAGCTTCAGTCTTTTGAACTCATATTTTGGGGATGTGATGAAATCTGGCCAGAAATAGGATTCACACAGGAGGGCCTTGTCATGCTTATTCAGTCTTGTCGGATTCGTAATCTCGTGCTAAGTGGTGCTCACATCTTTGATGACGAGGGGATGAAGGCCATCTCATCTGCACAATTCCTAGAATCACTCGAACTTATGGATTGTATAAATGTAACTAATTCTGGGATGCGCCTCCTCGCACATTGCCCATGTCTGATTAACCTCACACTGCGGCAGTGTGATCGTTTCTCTGATGCTGGAGTGACTGAGGTAGCACGTGCACGGAAGCTGGAGACCCTGGTTATTGAAGGTTGTTCTTGGGTCTCTCCAGAAGCTGTGCAGGGGGCTGCAACATCAGTTCACTACACAAAATATTACCCAGGCTTGTTCAATCTCGGCAGAGCGTGACTCTCAGGAAGGATGAAGCGCCCCACAGTTTGTGCCCCAGGTTGAGGATTGCTCGTCATGGATGGCTGGAATTTTAATTTTTACACATTTCGTTGTCGATCCTTTTACTGCTGTGTGTGTTTCGAGAATGTTAGTGTGTAATTGCAATATCTGGGTGTTTGGAAGTTATCTGATTATTGGGCATCATTAATTCATAATACTTGCCAGTTAGTGACAACTGTGGTTTAGGTTTACTTCTGCTACTTCGGCTAGATCGTGGGAGCCTTCTTCATCAGCCACCTGGTCTCTGGGATTTCCTCCTTTCTTCCCCTTGGCTATCACCTTGGATTTCTTTTTCTTCTTGAGGGGTTCATCCTCCAAGTCTTCTGGGTTCATATCACAGAACTGCACGCCCAGATTTTTGATAGTTTTAGTGAACAAAATTGGTGGGGCAGGAGAACAAGCTAGACACTTTTTCTCAGGGCAGCCAATGGGCTTGGCACCACTATTAGATTGTTTAAGTCTAGGACTTCTCCTTACCTTACTGTCCACTGTTGGAGTTCTCCTTTTATTAGGCTTCTTTGCCTTTGTAGTGTCCCTGATTTGCTTCTCCTCTTGAATTTCCTCTAGAGTCAGGTGGGACAAGCCTTTCTTTTCTGTGACAGGTTCGGAGGCACATATACACTGAATTCCATGTTCAGAAGGACAAATTCTAGGTAAATAAAAATCAATGGCACCCCACTTACTGTCAAGGTGGCCTAGAGCATTGGAGGACAAGAACTCCTTGGCCCAGCAGTAGTTGTCTGGATTAATTAACATCACTGTAAAGAAATTGGATCATTCTGCATGAATAAAACGCGGAACATTCCGTTGCGTAGGGCTTCGGTAACTAAACCTTCAAAAGTTACTTTTGCTTTTCTCGGTTTTTTCTCTCCTATTTTTCTGTCATATATTTTTTTTGACGAAACTGGAGGGGCCAAGGCCCCTACAGGAATTTATTTAAAAAAGGTGGGGTGGGGGTGGGGGGGGGGGCAAACAGGTTCAGTACAAGCAGAAATGAACAAAGGGGGAGAGGAAACAGCTAAATCAGGAGACGAAAAAAGAGAGAAAGAAAATAAAGATCAGCTAACAGCTTATTCTAGATTCTGAATCCATGAGGAAAACTGTTCTTGTTGATTTGCCTTTATCCTGTGCTTCAGAAGATTCAACTCACTGAAAAGAATCCTTTGACAGCCTACCAAATTCAGGCTGTTTCCTTTAAATATGAGTTCATTTCTTGCTGTCCAAATGGTCCAACACAAAAGTATGATTGCCTCCATGAAGAAGTGGGTGTTTAACTGTGCTTTTAGCTCAACAGCTAAATATGGGAAGTCAACATTTAAGGGTACGTCAATGTTCAAAATATCCCAGCACATCCTTACAAAAGAGCAATCTAGGAAGAGGTGAAAGGCTGATTCCTCCACTAGCATATTGCACAATGCACAATTATAAGAGTCTAGGTGCATGTTTCTTCTTCTTAGAATGTTTCTGGTACTTAGTCTGTCCTTGATCAAAAGCCAAAAGAACACTTTATGTTTGGGCTGACACTGGCTCTTCTACAGCCATTTATAAATGATGTGAACATTTGCATGGCCAACTAGGATTCAGTAGACTTTGGCAGATGCAAAAATATTGGACCCCCAAGAATATATCCATCTATCATTCCCTTCGCTGAGGGGGTGGAGTTGCATTTTCTGCTGAACCTCTTGCATTTGAAGGAAAGCCTGCTGTGACAGAGGTAGCTGAACAAGATCTGTAAAATTTTCTTCGTTAAAAGTCTTACAAACTGAAATCTGCTTATTTTTGGCAAAGGAGAAGAGCTCTGGGGCAACTGTTGCAAGGGGTTGATTGTCCCATCTGTAATGCCAGAAAAGAGAGCTTCCTCCACTTCTCACCTGTGGTCTGGCAATAGTCTTGAAATTAGGCAATAATTTGAGGGTGTCTCTCCACCAGAAGGACTCCTTTCTGATATGACTTGGAAGCTTCCCACTTCTGTAATATTTTTCCCAGATAAGTTTTACCCAGGGCAAATCCTCCTTATTAAAGAACTTGTGTAAATTCTTGGTAAGCAAAGCTTTGTTTTGTTTCTCAATATCAATAATACCCAATCCACCTCCATCCTTTGGTACACATACCATTTGTCAGGCTGCTTTTGGGGGCTTCTTTGCATTGACATCAGATCCTCTCTAGAGGCAATCTTTCCTATATTTATCAATTTGTTTAATGACCTCCTTGGGAAGAGCAAGGGAGCACATGAAAAAGGTAGGTAAGGCAGAAAAAACAACATTTGTCATCTGCAATCTACCAAACTGATTTGAAATGAGGAAAGCCAGACGGTCTTCTTTCACATTTATTCACCATTGGCAGGAAATTATGAGCTCTAGGCCTGGCAATACTCAGAGGTAACCCAAGATAAGTGAAAGGTAAGCTTTCCTTGGACCAACCAAATGTTCTTGCTAGCACTTCCAACCTTTCATCTGATACATTTATTGGGACCATCATCGACTTGCTAAAGTTTACCTTGAGACCAGTGGAGAGGGAAAAATTGTTCAGCAGAGCTTTGAGGAAAAATAACTATCTAGTGTCTCCCTCCACAATGATTAGTGTGTCATCTGCATACTGAATTACAGGGAAGTCAGATGTGGATGATGTTGGAATCGGTAAGTGTAGAAGCCCCATGTCCTTTGCCTTATTAATCATTGACTGTAGAAAATCTACTGCAAGGACAAAGAGAAGAGGAGATAGGGGATCCTCTTGCCTGCCACCCCTCTTGCAATGAAATGTCTTTCCAGGTACCCCATTTAGAAGTACAGCAGAGGTTCTTGAAGACATGATGACTTTCATCCAGTCTAACCACTTCTGTCCAAACCCTTTTGCTTCAATCAAGGTTAACATGGCCTGGTGTTCAATCTTATCAAACGCTTTCTCAAAATCAAGCTTGATAATTACAATCTCCTTTTTTGAATGATGGCAAAGGTGTAAATACTCAAAAGCCCAGGCCAGACAATCTTGAATTGTCCCTCTCTTTATAAAACCATACTGATTTTTGTGAACTAGAGTTATTATGACAGGTTGCAATCTATTAGCAAGCAACTTGGTGACCAACTTGACAGAAGAGTTAGGCAGAGAGATGGGCCTAAATTGATTGACAGATCTTGCCCCTTTAGCTCCTTGAAATTTCATTCTTCAACACTTAGACCTCTGAATTCCCCCAGCACCTCCAAGAATTGTAGAATTGTTTTGGTATTGGCAATTATGGTTCTTAGACCTGTTTTTGAAGCCTGCCAGTCTTTCAACTTTTTTCTTAGAGCTTTAAACTTTGCAGTGAGAGCTTTTGCACAATCAGTGTGATGATTTGTATCAGTCCAACATTCAGTCAAAATAACAGGAAATTGCTCATCCAGGAGCCAGTAGTTTTCAAACCTGAAAATTCTGCTTTTGGGAATATTTGTGGCAATGGTGACCACACAAGGAGTACGATCAGAAGGAGCCATATTCAAGGCCCTTAAATTTGTATTGGGAAAAGACAAATTCCAGCACTCAGAAGTGAACACCTAATCAATCTTCTCAAGGAGGGGAGAGGGCTGCATATTTGACCAAGTGAATTTCCTGTCCTGCAGAGGAATTTCAGTCCAGCCCAGATGACTGATCACTTCATTGAACAGAAACATGTCAGCAATGTTTTCCCAGGCTTGTTTCTGTCAGCAATGTTTCCCCTAGGCTTGTTTCTGTTGTCCTGTCTTCTAATGAGATTAAAATCCCCTAGAACCAGCTAGTTCACAGTAGCAGGCATCTCAATTTCCTTGAGCCAGTTGAGGAACAAACCTTTGCCTTCAGCAGTACAAGGGCCATGAACACAAGTTAGGACCCAGCTCATGTCTTTGTGTAAGGATGTGAACTCCATGCTCAGACTCAACCCATTATTGAAAATTTTGTTCCCAGTGAAAAGAGAACTTTTCTAGGTTATCAGAATATCCCCTAGAAGCACCCACAGGAGGTAAGAATTCAAAGGCATCAAAACTAGAGGGACAAATGTTTTTCAAAAACTGCCTATCAAAAGCATCTTTCTTAGTCTCTTGCAGACACACAATGTCACAAAAAGGACTGAGCAACTTTATCTCTGACAACATCCCATTTTCATCTGGCATTTATGCCTCTGACATTCCACGACATCACATTCCATTTTCTACCATTGTTTGTCTCCATGATAAAACTACATTAGATAACAATTAACAGCCACAGCATAGCTATGTTTAGTTCATGATATCATGACTAGATACAGACTCACAAGAACTGACTTAAAAGCAACAGAAGCCAATCCCATACCACTATCTAGGGATCATTGGCCTGGCTCTTATCTCCAGGTCCCCCATGCTGGCCTCCTTCTTCATCAGCCACCTAGTCTCTGGGATTTCCTCCTTTCTTCCCCTTAGCTATCACCCTGGATTTCTTTTTCTTCTTGAGGGGTTCATCCTCCAAGTCTTCTGGGTTCATATCACAGAACTGCACACCCAGGTTTTTGATAGTTTTAGTGAACAAAATTGGTGGGGCAGGAGAACAAGCTAGACACTTTTTCTCAGGGCAGCCAATGGGCTTGGCACCACTATTAGATTGTTTAAGTCTAGGACTTCTCCTTACCTCACTGCCCACTATTGGAGTTCTCCTTTTCCTAGGCTTCTTTGCCTCTGTAGTGTCCCTGATTTGCTTCTCCTCTTGAATTTCCTCTAGAGTCAGGTGGGGCAAGCCTTCCTTTTCTGTGACAGGTTCAGAGGCACATATACACTAAATTCCATGTTCAAAAGGACATATTCTATGTAAATAAAAATCAATGGCACCCCACTTACTATCAAGGTGGCCCAGAGCATTGGAGGACAAGAACTCCTTGGCCCAGCAGTAGTTGTCTGGATTAATTAACATCACTGTAAAGAAATTGAACCATTCTGCAGGAATACTTACTTTAAGGCAAGTAGGATTACCTGTGC